TATTCAAGATGGCTCTCTTTCGCTCACTACTGAGGGTTTGAACGTTAAGGGTTCTAAATATAGGAGCTATGTTGAAGTAATATTCATATCTTGTAGAAGGCAGTGAACCTAAACCAGGATCCCTTGAGAAGTAAACGTTCATGCACTTTCTCTGTAAAAAGTTAGTTTCTTTAGATAATTTAGGGATGAAAGCAATGTCAACAGAATTGCTAAAACCAATCAGTTTAAACCAGCTGTTGTACTGGATGATGCATTACATGTGCAATTAAAATTAGCTACTATAAAAAAACTTTAAATTCCTTAGCAAGACATCCGTCCATAACGCATTATTTCAGTGCGAATAACTGCTTGCATTTCAGAATTCATTTAGGAAGAATACTGCAATACATGAAACCAATTCCCAACATTTACTGAAATGGCTAAATTTTCTGTGAACTTAAAAACTGAATTCAACTGCAAGTTCAACAGTCCGCCACTGCTGCACTTGAGTAAAACGTCAAGAAACAATAGTTCAAAAAATAGGGTATAAGAGTTTTCTTCTAAAGAATTAAGTACTTTTAAGGATCTCAATACTGTCACTACGGTAGTTTAATAATGCAGTTTATTACAATATGCAATGAAGCTGAAGTAATGGTTGTAATGGCATCTATATTATGAGCACTTCTATAACCTTAAAGTTCAGAATAACGACCACAAGAGATGTCATAAATAAATATCCTCTGAACTCTGGCTTCGCTGTCCATGTTTTAGAATATAATCTAGAAGGGGCTGGTAGCGAAAGGCAGCATCAGCCTTACGATTAAGGAACTACTGATTATCAGAGCTAACAACGCTAGACTGTGTAATGACTGCAGGGCTACATTTGATAATTCTAAAGGACGGGAACCATTCGATTGTTTCACTGAATCTTTTTGTTAGATCTCCCGTGTAAGAACCACCTGTAACGACACTGTCACGGACCTTTCATTTTATTCAAGAAAGCTTGCAGCTGCATCGCTGAATTACTGACATCATTAGTCACAGCACAACAGTGAGCTTTTACTGCGAAGATTTTCCAGAGCAAGGAATTTCTCACACACTATTTCACTTCTGGTTGCTCAGTCGATTGGGAGTCGAACTCAGAATCGACAGGCCCTGAGTTCAAGCTCCTGTCAGGATCACTTACACGTCTTCCATCTGATTGATAAATGAGTACTACTCTGTGGGAAGAAAACTGGAGACTACACGCTATGCTTGCCACATATCTGTAGACTCTGCCTTAAAATAATAAATCACTCCTGGTTTATGGCATAGAAACGGAGACCATCACTGCATCATCAACTACAAGAAAAGGTCGTCAAAATGGTCCAATCATGAAAGTGAAGGAAGACTGACATTCCAACGCTGACCAACATTCCTTTCCAACTGCGTGAGTTCAAAATCACTGCATAAAAATTGCCGTCGATTAAACAGCCGATAAAGTTTATAAATTTAGACAAAAATACTTTACAAAAAAAAGAAATGAGTTGAAATATTCGTTTACGCAACAAAAGGATCGGGAAATCGTACGAACGACGATGCTGTTCATTCGTTGCATGTCCAAGGGTTCCGTACCGGTCGCAAGATTACGAATCACATCAAGGAAGTGCGGTTCGATTAGGTCTAGCTTCGTGACAAACACTTCTTTAAATGTGAACAGTTGTGCTCTTGCGACATGCGGAAGTAACTTGCACTTCACCTACGAGCAGACTATTAGCGAGCCAAAAACGGAACCTGGCGATACGAACGACTATACCTTACTGCAAAATGGCGATGGCACCTGCACAAACTCGCGCTGCAACGGTGACACCGGAGAGTCACTGAGGTACATGAGGAGAATCTCGAGCGCCACAGAGTTATGGAAATTCTTAAGGCAAATAAAATGCTCTTTAAAGCTAGGTGCTAACGAACTTACAAGCTTACCTGTAAGTCAGGACCACGAAAAGCTATTCGTACAATACCATGCGTTTCGTTTTCGGACGGACATAAGATCCTTCCCGTAAAACTGGCTTCTAAAGGAGGCAAAGAAGAAACTGACCAAGGTCGCTCAAAGATTTTGTTCTGGAGATCGTTCTTAACGATTTCGTCTTCTACCGGCTGTAAAGCCTCGAAAATTTTTTGGTGGCTAATTGTCCCGCTGATAATGACGTCGATGTTTTCTGGCAGATAGAACTTCTGATGGTATTCCCGAACCTGAAAATACAGTGACTGTTAATCCACTGGCGGCACCGTAATGACGTAATTGCTACATGTTGTAACGACGTTGAATCCCGAAGGTTGCTTAGTCTGCCACCCGTTTCGTAGCGGTAGCCACAACCTTCGTCGAAGAACTTCTGTTGTAGCATGCGGTAGGTCATTTCCGACATGTTTCCTTCATGTTCTTGCATTTCGCAATAAACGACGCCACCGTCTTCGCCACTTCCAGTAACGTGATGAACTTCAGTAATAAACTGCGACGACTAAATAGAAAAGCGGCTAAAAAAGAAAACTGACAAAAGAAAACATGATTACATTATGCATTAAAACATAGTTTGCATTAATACTCGCCGTTGCCAGTCCCAAGTTCGGATGACAAAGGAAGGTTGGAGAGAGCTGCAGAAAAGTCTCCGTTTCTCTTAGATACCTGCCCCTCAAACTATTGCCGTCATCGAACTTTATACCAGTTTCATCGTCGCCCGAATTACCTAGAGCCGCGAACGCTGTTGGCGGACTGACCCAGGTTGCGGAAAGTCGACGATCTGGACCCGTTTATCGCCTATCGGTAGCCGGGAGTGTAGCACCACAACAACGGCTGACAAAGATCGACGA